GGGCTGGTGGGCTACTCGGAGCGTCTGGAATAATGTGTCGCCGCCGGGAGCGCTTCTCCCTCGCCGGGAGATCACTGGGGGAGAGGCCGGCGGGGCCTCCCCTAATCCTTCGGGGGCTAACATTACGTTGGACGAGCCGTTGGGCTTGAACAACCACGGCGACGAAGGTCTGGGAGGTCTGCAGAGTCCTCGTCGCGCGATCGGCGCGGAAACGCCGCCCACATTTTTCCCTGAGATCCGGGCGTGACATTTTTGTCACACTGAGCGTGTTCGCTCAATTTCGGACCCGGGGACCCTCAAGGATGGATCCAACTCGACAGATGCCGCATAAAGATGGGGTTTGTGGCTCCCGTCGTAAATTCTCACGGTGCTTCATTTTTGTTCGTGACCTTGCGCGGCAAGTCCCCAGCGAGATCCATTCATGAGGGCCCTGGGGCCCGAATCCGTGCGAGAACATCCAGCGTGTCAAACATCCATGCGCGCGTGCGCAGCGGCGAGAGCGGGGAAAATACGGGTTTGGGGGCCCTGCGGGGCTCCAAGCTCCAATCTGGCCGAAACCAGCGCGCTCCCCCAAAACGCCGACCGCAGCGCTTCGGTCTGAATGAGATGGGCCGGAGTGTCCGCCAGCGGCCAGCGCAGACCCGAAGGGGCCCAGGGACACGCAGATGAATGCGCACGAACCCCAGGAATTCCAGTCCTTTCAATATTTTCTGGGTGTTCGCTTCCCCCTTCTTTTCCGCATCTGTCAACCGACGATTCTCCATGAGGAGAGGGAGGGGGACGAGGACGACCAGGAGGAGGAGGAGGAGGAGGAGGAGGAGGAGGAGGAGGAGGAAGCGGAGGCTGTGCCTGTGTGCTTTGTTCCCCTCCTGAGGATTCCGCCCCCAGCCCGTGAAGAGGGGAGAGGGAAGGCCCAGGGCGCCTCCTCCTCCTCCTCCTCCTCCTCCTCCAATTCATCCTCATCCTATCTCATATACCTCCTCCACCCATCCCCTCCTCCTCCTCCTCCTCCTCCCCTCCTCTCCTCCCCCGTACCTCCTCCTCCTCCTCCCTCCTCTCCTCGTCCTCCTTTGCTCCTTCTCTTCCTCCTCCTCCTCCTCCTCCTCCTCCTCCTCCTCCAACCCCCTCCTCCTCCTCCTCCTCCTCCTCCCTCCTCCTCCTCCTCCTCCTCCTCCTCCTCTCCTCCGCGTCCTCCTCCTCCTCCTCCCCTCCTCTTCCTTCTCCCCCCCCGTCCTCCTCCTCCTCCCCCTCATTCTCCTCCTCCTCCTCCTGCTCCTCCTCCTCCTCCTCCCCCTTCTTTTCCGCCCAACCTTGCACCCGAGAGCTTCAAAGAAACCCTACTCTTTCAAGATTCCCGCTTTACGCTGCATCCGCCTGCAACCCAAATGTCTTCTGCTGTTTCTTGCTGGAACGGCCGTAGCAAGGTAATGGCGAGATACGGAAAGAAAGGAGGTCAACCGCAACGCCGTGACTACTTCGTCTGCAACAATCCGCAGTGCACTGGTTGGGACTGGTGTGACAAAGCATGTACTGCAGCAAATGTGACAACCAGTATCAAAGTCGTGGCAAAGGTCGAGATGATAAGGGATCCTCGCAACCAACCACACCTGCAGGCGCCAACCGTTGGAAAGGAGGAAAGCATGCTGCCAGGGGCATTCATGGGAATGACAGGCAGCTCGAGCATGACGAACCCCGTCGTGCCGGCACAGTGGCGCTGACTCCTGCTACCGAGCCAGGCGTCAACACATACCAAGACCTCGTTCAGATTTGGAAGGAAAGCAACCGCAACGCCGTGACTACTTCGTCTGCAACAATCCGCAGTGCACTGGTTGGGACTGGTGTGACAAAGCATGTACTGCAGCAAATGTGACAACCAGTATCAAAGTCGTGGCAAAGGTCGAGATGATAAGGGATCCTCGCAACCAACCACACCTGCAGGCGCCAACCGTTGGAAAGGAGGAAAGCATGCTGCCAGGGGCATTCATGGGAATGACAGGCAGCTCGAGCATGACGAACCCCGTCGTGCCGGCACAGTGGCGCTGACTCCTGCTACCGAGCCAGGCGTCAACACATACCAAGACCTCGTTCAGATTTGGAAGGAGCGTGAAGGCGCCCGAGGCAGCAACTATGAGGCGGCTGCCTTGCAGCTCAAGGCAACAACGCAGATGGTGCTCAAGGCCAAGCCGCTGGACCAGCAGGCCCAGTCGCTGCCAGACCAGATCGAGCGAACCAAGGAACGCATCAGCAAGTCCAAGACCCAGGCCACCGAGAAGCTGGAGCAACTCACCACCCTGGCCGAAGAGTACTCGGAATTGCAATCTACAATCGCCACCCTGCGTGAGGAAGTGGAGCAGCTGGAGGCCCAGCACGATGTCGCGGCCAACTCGGCGGCGGCGGCGATCCCCAACCCGAATGTGCAGAAACCGTTCCCCGAGCTCAACCAATTCATGGTGCAACTGGCGGCGGGCCCAGTCTCGGATGTCCCCGTGCACATCAGAGCATCGCGGCGGCGGTCCAGGGCACGGTGGCGGCGGCGCCAAATCGCAGCCAGCATGGCGCGCGGGTAGCCGCGGACGTGGCACCAGCCACGGCCACCAGAGAGGAGCCAGACGGATGTCCCCCAGTCGGTTGCAAAGCAGACGACGAACCAGAGTCGCAAGCGTCGCAGGCCATGGATGGCTCGGCCCGCGACTCCGCGGCCGGAGGAGGAGGAGGAGGAGGAGGAGGAGGAGGAGGAGGAGGAGGCTGCGCAGCGAGTCCGAGGCGCTGGAGCACGCGCTTGGCAAGGTCGCAGCGCAGACATCCGGCCAGGACTCCAGGCGGGCCAAGGCGGCGCTCTCTTGCAGGCCCAGGAGGCGGCAAAGGCGGCCAACAAAAGCAAGGCAGGAGCGACTGCTCCGTACGGAAGGCAGCACCAGTCAGACAGACTTCGTCGCCATCAGCGGCAGGTGTTGAAGCGCAGTGCAGATGCCTAGTTCAAAAGCTCAAGAAATATCGCATGCTTCATCCATTTGAGCTCAGGAAGTCAAGCTCCGTGGAGACAACATTGGCCACGAAGTGCAATGGTGTGAAGTTCGAGGCCGGCATGCAATCTTCTCAGATTGCGACGTCGGCGAGAACGGTTGCAACAACAGCGGCACGTGCATTCTCATTCGCAATGGACTCAACATTGGAATTCAACCAGTCTCTCTTCCAGGCTACATGCCATCAAGTCGCGCCGCCGCTGCCATCCTAGAGTTGCCAGGTCACAAGCCCATAGCCTTCCTGTCCATGTATTTTGAAGCGTCGGCTGGGCTGAACAAAACAAGTTTGAACTTACTGGTCACAACATGATGGTGCCAATAAAAGTTTCGCATGCTAGTTGTCGTTGGAACTGACTTTACCATGGCCCCATCGATGATCGCATCAGCAAGAGTTTTGTCACGAGCAAGTTTGGAGTCGCTCTATCCTTCAGGTCAGGATACGCGCTAACACCAGTAAGGCGCGCAGTAAGATGCACTATTTCATAATGAGCTCGTGCCTCAAAAGCTGAGTGCAGGCGGTGACAGCGCTGAAGCAATACCCCCTGTCGCCGCACAGACCCTTCAAGATAGGCTTCGCATTTGGTTCTAGAATTATGACCCCCGTCCTCAGCAAGCCCCAGAAGATCCCCGCCAGGCGCCCCTTTGGTCCCGCCCTCGAGAACCAAGATTGGGTTCGTGCGCCAGCTGCCCTGGGCACCTTGGAGCAGATTCTGGGCTCAGAGGCCCCGGAGAACCGAGAGAGAGCCGCCCTGGACAAGGCGTGCGAGTTCTTGGTCTTGGAAACGGAAGGCCCTCAGCGGGGCTACTACTGTCCCTCTTCGGCAAATTGTATTTCGCTGTGACCCCCCCGAAGAGAATGCTGTTATCTGCTGCAGCCGTAGAGGGCCAACATCGGGCTGAATGGAAGTCCTTTTTGTCAGACCGACGCGATGGCTACTCAACCAGACTTTAGGGGCGCAGCGCATTTTGACCCAAGAAGATCTGGAGGCGCTACCAAGTCATTTGCAGCAGCTGCCCGAGCCGACGCGGGAGTGTTTTGTTTCCGACGAAGTTGAGCGCCATGCCCAGCAAAGTGTGCAGCCTCGCGGAGGCGCCGCAGCAGGACTTGCTATATCAGGGGAAGGGCGGGATCACACAAGCAGCGAAAGAACTATTTAGAGAACAGCGCGAATTAGCTCTTAAGTTCCTGGATGAAGAAACAATGCAGAAGGACAACACGTTAGGACGATGTGGAAACAGTGGGTGGCAGATTGGATGTCTGAGGGAGTTGGTTAGGCCCATAGGTGGACCAATAAGGTTCAACGCTGGAAACCAAGCAGGGTTCAGAAGAACGACGGGGACTTCTCGGATTGCCCTACTGAGCTCCTCAACGCGGAAGTTCGGAGGCTTGCCAAGATTTAGAACTCCCAAGCGGTGCCTCATCATCAGGCCCATGGAGACCCTCAAGAAGCTGAAGCCCTTCCTCGAATCGCCCCTCGAGAACTCCGACAGGCCCCGCCATTGCCGAGACTCGGACGGGCTGCATCCCAAGCATGTTGCTCGTCTTTCCCAGCACCAGCAAGAGATGTGTTGCAGGCTCCTCAGTGTGATAGAGCGCGTGGGCAGCATGCCAACCCAGCTCCTCGCAGCTGTTACAGCAGTGATTCTCAATCACACGCCCTCAGGAGAGGGCCCACCATATAGAGGTATTGGGTTAATGCCCAGCGCGCACCGAATTCGGGCACGAACCCGGCAAGACGGAGCGAGGAGATGGGAACGCCAACGCCGCCGTCCTTTTCTCGCCCATCAGGCGGGCAGGTCGATGCTCCGACTGGTGCACGGCAGTCGCTCCAAGCAGCACCGCGGAGGATTCCCCCCTCCACTCGGCCTCTGTTATGTGGGACCTCACCCACACGAACATGCTAATCGAGTCAAGCTACACCAGCGAGCCCCATGAGCAGGACGCAACGGGGCCATCCTCGCCATCACCATTAACCAATATAGGAGCCAACGCATGATTACACGTCGTTCATTTCTAATCGTGTTCATTTCTAATTGTGCTCGTTTCAAATTGTTCCTGACCCCCTAGTGGCCAGAAAGAGGCCCAGGATAGAACAATTAGAAATGAACGAATCTTGGCCCCCTTGAAAATCAAAGAACTCTCGAAGAATTAGAAATGAACTACGTGTACGCATGTTTATAAATGACCTGCTCCTCTTTTCCCACAGGTGCAAGGCCACCCTCATCGCGAAACTGAGGAGAGCGGCCGCCAGTCCTTTGTTCGCGATCCAGCACGAAATGGAGTGCGAGATAGCGGTGGCCAAATCAGCGGTCTTAGCCTCGCCTATAGATGTTCAGAAGAAGCCCGCGAAGCAAGTGGGCAGGTACTAAGGATCCATCCCGTCTCATGCAGCAAACCTATGAGTTGATTTTCGAGCAGGACAAAAAAGGGGTAACACGACCAGCAGCAGCAAGTCTCGAGAGAGATACGCCAAGCTCAAAGTCAGGGTCAGCCAAATCCGAGCTGTTCACAGAGCAGGTGGAAATACCGTCAAGCTGCATGACACTGGTTTTGGGCAAGCGCAAGTTTGTGGGGCAGAGGTGGCTGGCCTAGATGATGCTGAACTTCGATTGTCCCGGAGGTTGTTTTTGAAGCTCGCTGGCCCTGGGACTACCACCAGGTCCTGCTCACTTGCACTCTGCCTCCTCGGGGACCCTTGCCGGCGCCCAGGTGTGGAACCAATTCTACCTTGGCCTACCCTGGTCTGGAGAGCCACGGCAGGCGAGTCCGCCCCAGGATTCAACCTACCCGGTCTTCGTGCGATGGCCGCTGCAGTGCTCGCGGACCCTCCACCGAGGTGGAGCCAGTGCCGAGCACCTTTCGGTGCTGCGATTTCGACTGCGACCAGAGCTGGATGGAGCTTCCCAGGACCCTTCTCGATGATCGACCATTCGGGCCAGACTCACATCCTCACGCCTCCCCCTCGCTCCTCCAGTTCTGGCTCCAGGAGGCTTGGATGCAGCGGCTGCGGGAGCAGGCGACCATCAAGCTAAGACTGGGCGGCCAATCCGACGTCTCAGCGGCAAACGAGATTTTGAATTCCAACGAGATTTCGGACCCGGAGAAGGTCACCCTAACAGCGTTCCCATGCCTAGGTAGTTGGACCCAGTCGTGCCTCCCAAAAGCAGGGGGCCCAACGGAGCCCCAGTGCCAGTGTGGACACAGAGAAGATGGCCTTCATCATAGACTCGTGATTTGCCCTTGTACAGCACCGTTGAGAGACGAAAGGTTTTCCCAAAGCGAGCTGGACCAACTCTATGACCTTTCCAGGTTTCTGCTCCAAACTGGCTTCGCACTGCGGCCCGAGCTTCCGGTGGAAGCCCCTACTGGTCTAGGCAACGATTTTGATAACCTCAGGATTTGGTGTAACGTGGGGCAAACGATCGAAGACGTTGTCAAAGGCAAAGTATATACTGACGGATCGTGCCTCAAGCAGGACCACCCTGCCTTCCACACAGCGGGTTTCGCTGCGGTGACGATCGACGACCAAGGGGACCTTGCAGGAGCGATTTACGGCCCTGTAGGACGGAGCCTCCCCCCATGCTTCGCATCTTGCTGCGCTCGCTGCTGCCTCCCTTGCTCCCCCTCGGTCGATCACCCAAATCATCACAGACGACCAAGGAATTTTCAATGTATATCAGCGCCAGCAGTACTATAGGGCACACCAGTACGCTGGCGTGTCTATGCTGGTGAATGGAACCGAAGGCTGGCATGATAACCTCGAATGAAGATTAAAGCGCATCAGGACGGAGACGCGATCCCCGAGGGATCGACGGAGTGGCTAGATGCCACTGGTAACGATTTTGCAAACAAATTCGCCAAATTAGGTGCTAAATGTCTGTGCAGCCCGTCGGTCGCGGAATTCCAGTCGGCTGACGAACAACACAAGCTACTCAAGAAGTGGCCAGCGTGCGTTGCGAAGAGCCTCAACTTGTGTGGGACGCACATGAACATACTAGTACTATATGTCCTCCTTGGAGGCGCGCGTCCGACCCGAACATATAGTATACCCATCTTGTAGTATATCGTTTCCCGAGCGGTGTGGCCAGAAAGCGCCCGCCACGACGCATATACTATAAGATTTCTCGGTGCGCGCGTCGCCCCTGGGGGGGCGACGCACATATAGTATAAGTATGTTGGGGTGTTGCCGATTGTGGGAGGAGGAGGAGGAGGAGAAGGAGGAGGAGGAGGAGGAGGCGGAGGAGGAGGAGGAGGAGGAGGAGGAGGAGGAGGAGGAGGAGGAGGAGGAGGAGGAGGAGGAGGAGGAGGGAGGGGGGGGGAGGAGGAGAGAGGAGGAGGAGGAGGAGGAGGGGAGGGGGAGTGTGGGGCCCGAGGCCAGCAAGAAGCCTCCCACCCCTCGCGACGCGGGCGCCGCCCAGCCGGCGGCGGCCGGAGCGCGCAGCGCCCCAGAGGCTTGGAGTCAACTAAAGGGGCCCCAGGACACACAGATAAATACACACACAAATAAACCTATTCCCCAAATGTTCCCATAGTTTCTGGGTTTTTGTCTTCCCCCCCACTTCCCATAGTTTCCCATATGTTCCGGGGGATCGTCGATTCATTGTGTCTCTGTGTGTTTTTTTCCCTCCTGAGTCAACTCGTCCCGATTCCTCTTCCTGCCCATTGAGGCCCCTCGTCCCCCACGCTTTCGCCACGCGTGGGAGTGGGGGCGGAACGGGACATGGATACACGTCGGTCATTTCTAATCGTGCTCATCTCTAATTGCGCTCGTTTCTAATTGTTCCTGGCCTCCTAGTCGCCAGGAAGAGGCCCAGGATAGAACACTTAGAAATGACAGGATCTTGGCCCCCAAAAAATCAAAGAACTCTCGAACAACTAGCAATGAACAGTGTGTTTGCGTGCATTGCAGGACGCGATGTGTGGAGAATAAGATGCAGGGCCGAGCAGATGAGTCTTGCCAAGGATTTCACCGTGATTTTTCAGATCCGGCGCTGGACCCCAAAGGCCGTGCGCTGCATGGTTCTCCAGAGATCCCCGGCACAAAAATCAGCACTGCGTGCTCGAAATCTAGTCTTTACAATGAATCGAATGCGAGAGGTTTAAGCGGGATGTGCGGGAATGAGTTCAAGCGACCAGGCGCTCGAACTCGATGGAATCTGCTCTGTACTCTGCAAGGTTAAGCACCCCAGAAGCTCCTTTTCCAATCCCTCGAGGTACAGTTGCCCCCCGCACGGACTGACGGATTTCATCGCCCGTCAGCGCCAGGCCATGTCCCAGCAGGAGGACGTCAGGCCATAGGGTGGGCGAACCTCCGCCCCCAACCACGTGCTAATCCTCCTCCTCCTCCTCCTCCTCCTCCTGCTCCCCTGGGGGCGGTTTTCGCCGCGGATCCTTCGACAAGATGGACCTGGGGGCCGAAAGCGGGCCCTTGAGGCCGACACCTCGAGGATAAGCGGCTGGACCGAAGCAAACATCCAAAATCCAATCGCCGGAGATCTGCGCATGCGACGCCCGTGCCTCAGGGTCTGCAGTGGGTTCTACAGCAGCCCGACATGTGCGCGAAGGGAGACCGGAGCGCGTGCAGACCCTGCCTGGCAGCCGCTGGTGCGGGATTACTCCTCGCCACGGCGAACACAAGACAGGGTCGTTCCTCAGCGGAGCTGGGTCGGGGAGAGCTTCGGAGGGCCGAAGCGTACCCCAAGGCGAAGCCGAGGCCGTGATGAAATCGGACTCGGACGGATCGGTGGCTTCTGAGATCCTGTGGCCCTGCTCATTGTTCCTGGCCCCCATGGTGGCCAGGAAGAGGCCCAGGGACAGAACAATTAGAAATGAAAGGATCAACGAACTTTCGAAAAAGCATGGAAACTGCGAAAAATCAGAAATGAAGACAAAGAACCTGCGAAAATCAAAGGACCAAAAAATTAAAGAACTTTCGAAACATCAGACATGAACAATGTGTAGGGCGCCGCGGCCGCTCCGGAGCGCTCTGGAGCGCTCCGAGGGCGTCCTGGAAGGCTCTTGAGGTGATGGCTCCCGGTCCCGGGCCCGCCCGATGCCCCCTGGGCGACGAAGGGCTGAACCTAAGCGGTGTTTTTCGTTTTCGTTTTGCTTTCGTTTTCCCTCGTTCTGTCTTCAGCCCACCTCTACCGCAAAACGGAGTCGAAACGAAAACGGCCCACGAGATCGCCGAGACACCGCTTAGGTCCAGCCCTGGGGCGACGCGCAACGCGACCAGAGCATCAGGACGCGCGGTGAGGATGCAAGAGGGCACTCGGACGCCCAAGCAGAAGCCGAGGCTGGAGGTCCCTGGCCCACGGCTCTAAGGGCCAGGGTGGACCGAGAGGCCAGGATGCAGGGGTGCCTGTGGGGTGGTGAGCGTTTCCTCGTACGGCGTTTCGACAACTTGGCGGACGGGGGCGGGGGAGGGGGAGGGGGTGGCTCCGGATCTCCAAACAGGCGCCAAGAACAGCCAAGATCGCCCCGTGAGGGGGCAGCGGTGCCAGCGGGCACGGCAATTACGTGCGATGCGCGAGCAGGCGCGACAAGTGTTGTCAATTACAAAGGCGCGCTCACTGAGGAAGCTCGGCAAACACCTAGCAAGTCACTCGCCCCCCTCAAACTATAACACTTTTGCTGAGAATCTCCTCGGCCCCACGAGTCCTGGCCCCCAGAATCCCCTCCCCCTCCTCCTGCCCTGCTCATCCTGCTCCCTTCTCGTCCACCCCCCTCCTCCTCCACCTTCTCTCCTCCGAGCTTCCTGCTTTGACATGTACCTGTCCTTGGCAGGACATGAATATGTCCCTGGCAGCCTTGCACAGCAATGGCAATTTTCAGAAATCCAGATCGGTCTGTGCAACAATAGTCGACAGACAGCGCGGCCATGCCGGGCGCAGATCTTGGTCTGAACAGCCCCGGGCCGGGCATGTACGCACAAGGCACAGCCACATTTCTGCCCTGGAGGCCGCCCCAATGGGGCACGAGAACATATGTTGGACTTGTGCATCGGGCTCGAAACTAAGACGAAACCAGGACGAGGATAAATTCGGGTGAAGATACATAGGAAATCTCTGAGATCCGGCGGCTCCAAGGGATGTACCGGGCGCCGCGGCCTTCTCAGAGCGTTCCAGAACGCTCGTCCTAGCCCCGGCCGGCGGATCAAGCCGCATCGCCGACGTATCTGGCGATGCGGCGAGACCCTCCGACCACCTCTGCTTTCGGATCCCGCGTAGGGGGCTTGGGCGATCCTCCTCCGTGCTCCCCCTTGCATACGGCAGACCAGAACGACCACACTCCGATCGTTGCTGCCTTGGGACTGGGCTTCGGTATACTGTCTGCCTTTTTCCAATCCTTCTGCCACCTCCTCTAACGCGGGGGTAGGGCGACCCTGAATCCCCGACTTTGTGAGGTTTCCAACTGGACCAGCAATCTTGGATTGAAATCGGAGGTGAGTCCATCCTCGATAAGGGTGCGTCTGGCTAGCGCGCCGAAGACGGCCCAAGATTGCCCAAAGACGGCCCCACGAGTGGGCCCAGCTGGGGAACCCGAACGGATATTTCGAGCCCTTGCGCAGGATGGCCCTGGCAAGGCGTGGCAGTGGTACACAGAGGCCTTCTCCAGAGCTCAGGAGCACTCGCACTATCTTTAAGGTGCCGTCGCGGCGGTCAGAGCAACCACCCACCGCTTTTGGGGGGTGGCCTCCGCCTCGGGAGCTGGACTCCGAACGGTTAGAGATGGCATTCCGATTTAGCAACAAGGGTTAGCATTCAGCCAACATACAACATGAAAACAAAGGCTTGTTACTGACCCAAAGTATCGGCGATGACAGAATCGGCATCATACCTCGATGACGCTGTCGTAGGCGTCGCCGCCGTTCATTCGGCCGGCGCTCAACTGTGGCTCGGACTCCGGCTCACCTCTCGTCGAAGGCTGCGGCGAGAACCCAAAGATATACGACCGCGGTCCAGCCATCGCCATCTGGGGAGGCATGGTCGGGGCCTCGATGCCTCAGGAGAAGGGACACGTGAACCACGGCACGACATTCCCAGGTTTAATGTAGGCCAACATGCTTTCTCTAAACATGGCCCCGCATAAAAATGTGTCTATATGCACACATCGGCACGGCCAAGAACCACGCGCGCACATCGCGCGCTCACAGGTTCGAGTCATTGTACTTCCACGGCGTCGTCTCTTGTGTCTTCCCTTCGAGATCTGCTCGGCTCACAGAAAGGCGCGCCCGGATATGAAGGAGGAGGAGGAGGAGGAGGAGGAGGAGGAGGAGGGGAAGGAGGGGAGGAGGAGAAGGAAGAGGAGGAGGAGGAGGAGGAGGAGGAGGAGGAGGAGGAGGAGGAGAACGAGGAGGAGGAGGAGGAGGAGGAGGAGGAGGAAGAGGACACGGGAGGGCACGCCGTGCAGTCCTGCAGGGAGCGACGCCTCAAGCTGTCCAGAGCGAACGCGCCCCGCGTGAAGAGTCCCAGGACACGCTGAGTACACCCCGCGCGCGGGTTGCTCATCATCGTGCCACGCTGTGACTTTCTCGGGCGAGAAAGGTGCTACGATCAGAGTGAGGGGGCTGAACCGAACGTCATTCACGTCATTCACTGTCCCTGGGCGCGTGGATGAAGTGGAATTCCGCGATGCGGACTCTTGTTGTTAATGCTGTTGTTTGTTGTTTGTTGTCGTCGTCCCACCCCGCGACCCACCCGCGACCCACCCGCGACCCACCCCGCGACCCACCGGCGACCCACCCGCGACCCACCCCGCGACCCACCCGCGACCCACCCCGCGACCCACCCAAAATTTTCGGCGCCTGCGGCGGGTTTCTTTTGCATTCGTTCCAGGTGGGGAGCCCGCGACCCAAACCGCGCCCGCGACCCACCTGCGACCCACCGCGACCCACCCGCGACCCACCCAAAATTTTCGGCGCCTGCGGCGGGCTTCTTTTGCATTCGTTCCAGGTAGATAACCTGCGACCCACCCGCGACCCAAACCGCGTTCAGTGTACAAATTAAATTTTCCGCGCCTGCGGCGGGCTGTTTTTGAATTCCTTCCAGGTGAAGGTGGAGAGCCCGTGACCCAAACTACGTTCACTGAACAAGCCAAAACTTCGGCGCCTGCGGCGGGTTTCTTTTGCATTCGTACCAGGTGGAGAACCTGCGACCCAAACCGCGTTCAGTGTACACATCAAAATGTTCGGCGCCTGCGGCGGGGTGTTAGGAGGAGGAGGAGGAGGAGGAGGAAAAGGAAGAAGAGGAGGAGGAGGTGGAGGAGGTGGACGACGACGACGACGATGAGGACGAGGACGCGGACGAGGAGGAGGAGGAGGAGGAGGAGCAGGAGGAGCAGGAGGAGTAGGAGGAGGAGGAGGAGGGCGCCATTGACAGGGAAGGTGAGGGCCGCGAGGTCCGCCGGCTCGTCGTTGATCGTTGACCGGCGCCCGCGCCCGCCCCCTCACTCTTATCCGCAATTGCGGGGTGGTACTAGTACAGCTGGCTGAAGATCCGTTCCAAGATTTCTGGAGCATCCAGCGGCCCTGGCTTCTGCAGCCAGTGTGGAACATTCGGAACTCCAGGGGATCCTGGGAATCTTGGAACATCTACTTTTCATGACCTCCTCTGATTGTTGTCTGCTCGAAGTCCCGCGCTGGGCCGGCGACGTCTGCACTCGCAGCCTCTGGCACCGGATCCCACCGTGAATTCTTCGGTTTAACCCGTCGGGGTAGGATGCGATAGTGCTCGCAAAACAGAATGGGGGAGGCCCTTTGGAGGCCTGTTGTACCAGCACAAGCGAGAAATGCCAAATGAAATCCCATGAGATGAACTCAATCACATGGAGCCTCTGTCAGGGACCGACGAGGACCTTGTCCAAAAACTTTGTTTGGAAGGTTTCCGAGCGGGCGACATCGCTTTCGCAGCGAAGTCACGTCCTCGCTCCTTGCATACGCTCTCTCGTGGGCGCGTTGAATTTTGTGCCTCGTCAAACTCGACGAGCGACATGTGTGTGTGGGGGAGTCCAGGAGAGGTTATTCCGAGAATGTTCTGGCGGAGGGCCTCCAGAACGGCCTGGAGCATGTGGTGTGTGGGCGCAACCGTGTTGAGCGGCAGTGTGCAACCATCATTGCCTTTTGACGACCCTGGGGCCAGGGAGAGCCCCAGGAGCCCGAAAATTGTTGAAGACCTCCAGGACCCGTTGACTTTGTGAGCGTTCTTTGATTCGGCGTTTCGACATTGGGCGGAAGGAGGGGGGTCTGGCTCTGGACCTCTGCTTAGTGCCACTGTTTGCAGCAGTGCGGCCGATGGGGGAGAGACCCCACCTGCTCGAAACAGGCGCCAAAAACAACCAAGATCTACTCCATGGGGGGGGGGTAGGGGGGTGCGAGGGCCCGTTTCGATCGGCAAAACAACGAATCAAAAACAGTTACATTCCTTCTCAAGCAAGAGAACTATTTCGTGACAATGTCGTGCTTGCTTCGCGGCGGCACGCGTCAGTCCACAAAGCTGTTGGGGTGCATGTGGAAACTGATGCTGCTCTTGCCCAAGACCAGGAGAGTGTCTGACGCACTTCCGACCCCAAGGCAGCGGGAGGAGGTCCAGGACACATTTCCCCGAAGACTCTCCTCCTTCATGGCGATCCAGGGGGGCACCTGTGCTCAGCAGGAAGCCCGAGAGGCGGTTGTCAGACAGACGTCTCTGTCGGAGATGTGCCACCGAACCACGGAAACACAGTCCGCTTGAGGGGTGGGTGTTCTCCTCCGCCCTGGCTGCCGCGCGGCCCGTCGAGGTCCTCGAGGACGTGGCCCTCGTCCCTGCCAAAAAGCGTCCAGATCCTCCTGCGCCAGACGCGGGGCACCTCCCTCCGTGCTCCCATCGCCTCTCCAGGGGCGGGTGGGGGGGCGAATGGGGGGGAAGGAGGAGGTGGAGGAGGAGGAGGAGGAGGAGGAGGAGGAGGAGGAGGAGGAGGAGGAGGAGGAGGAGGGTGAGGAGGAGGAGGAGGAGGAGGGGCGCCAGGCCCGATGCAGGCCTGGGCGTTGTCAGCGTTTTCCTACTTGGGCGTCGGGGAGCGCCCCCAGCAGTCCTCAAGCGGGAGTCGCAGGAAAACCTAAAAAACCTAAAACAACAATTTTTCGGGCGAACTTCAGGAAGTGGCCTCGGGTCAGGCAGATTTGTCTGAAAAATAAGTTTGTTTCGTTTTTTTTTTTTATATAAAAAAAAAGTTTTTTTGGTTTTCTCAATGGTCTCTGGTGTTCCGGCCTCCAGCTGCGAATGGCACTGAGTAGGACGGGGAGGAGGAGAGGAGGAGGAGTTCGCGGTGGTGGTGGTGGTGATGATCGCGATGATGATGGAGAGAACGATGGTGGCGATGACGATGACGATGCGGATGATGATGATGATGATCACGATGATGACGAGGGCGGTGATGGCGGCGAGGATGCTGTTCATGGTAGTGATGGCGATTACGTAGGTGTTTTGTTCAAGCCGCTAAGCCGCTGTATACCGCTCAAACTTCGACGGGTTGTGCCATGCCTGCATCGTCTGTCGCCGCGCGCCTGCGGAAGGCGATCGCGACGCGCGATCGGAAACGCAAGGCTTCGTTCGAGCGGTGGGTCAAGAAGCCGTGGGTGAAAGCGGCGTGGGTGGCGAAGGCCAGGGAGGTGGTTCAGGAGCTCAAGTGGGAGGTGACGAAGTACATGGGAAATGCTGAGGAGGCCAATAGGCGCGCCGACCTCGTCACGAATGTCCTTAACAAGAACAAAAGCGTGATCAGCGCACTGCGGCCTCTGGCCGAAAATGCGAACACGCTTGAAGAGGAAAACGCCAAGCTTAAGCAAAAAACTCGAAAAGGCCGAACAGAAGAACAAGGAGGAAGCGGAGAAGACGAGGCAGGAGCAGGAAGAGCACAGGAAGACCAAGGACCACCACAGCGGAAGGGATCACACAACTTTGCCCTTCGGGCCCCCTTCCCCCCTCTCCCTCTGCTTCTCCTAAGCAGCCTTGCTCTTTGGGCGCCAGGCACCTTTGGGCTCGCCCGTCCCCACAGGAGAAGCTGCAGAAGCTGACCTCCCAGCGGAGCCGCTTCTGTCGGACCGCCAGGCCCGCCGAGGTGGCGCGCTACTGGCGGTGCGCCACGAGCCCCAAGCAGCGCGGCTCCGACAGGGACGGCTGCTTTGGCGCGCAGTGAAGACAGCGCGCTCACGCAGCGGCCGCGCCCCGCGGCGCTCGGCCTAGCCGGCGAGAAAAACGAGCGGCTTGCAACAAGTCCGCCTTGCTGCCCCCCCGCTTTCCCTTTTTCCCTTCGGACTAAACCAGCCAAGAGGCTCAGGCAGAGCGAGCCAAGAGGGGGATCCGACGTTGGATCCCCCTCTTTTCTTCTCTCGAATGCGCATTCGTCAGATCAGCGCACGTCATCGCGAAGCGATCGATACTCAGAATCACAACCAAGAGGTTCGAGCAAAGCGAACGAGGAGGGGGATCCGACATTGGATCCCCCTCTTTTCTGATCTCGAATGCGCATTCGTTAGATCCATATACGTCGTCGCCAAGCGACCGATACCAAATCACAGCGCTGTTAAACTTTATAGACCTAGGGGGGCTGCAGGGGGCGCAGAGGACGGCAGGAGGCGCAGCGAGAGAGGGCGCGAGGGGCCAGCAGGGGGGCACGAGGGGCAACGGGAGAGGGTCGCAGCTGTTTTGGCTCGAGAACGGTTCGCGCCTCCTTGCAATCCAGTCCGCGCCGCTGCCCGTGCTTCCACGGCCTAGCATGGCGAGCGCCCCCGCCGCTAGCGTAGCCGCGCTGGGCGATGTCGCGTACGACGCCGTGGGCGACGCGAAGCTCACCTTCGAGGAGGCGCTCCTCATGGTGAGCGGGTGCAAAATGGATTACCACCCCCAGAAAGCTATCAAGAAGGGCAGGCTGTCCATTGCAGGCGACCTTGCCATCTTCGATCTTCCCATTACTCCGATCTCGCGGGGTAGCTCCACGAAGCTAGTGGCTTTTGCGGACGTGATTTCGAGTAACGAAGGGGGGTTAAATTTCGCGCAGATACACAAATTCTGCTGCCAGGGTCGGCGCAAAGACTTGCAGGCTCCTCTGTCGTTCAAGCACGAGCCAGTCGTCCCGTACACCATGCAGATATTCATTGCGCGCCAGAAGCCCGAGGACGAGGATTGCTCGAAGTACCGCATATTAAAAGTGGCCAGCTTCGAGAAGAACAAGGTGGACGCCCAGAGTATCCTGAAGTTTGCGAGCGGCGAGGCGCATAAGATCGACTACGGAAATAACTGCAGGTTGGGTTCCGCTGCTTTCCAACTTATGCTGGAGAAGCTGGAAGGGTTCCAGATCAAGTACTTCACGCTGAAGCCGCAGAACGAGCGCAAGCAGCCACTGGCCGAGGACGAGCGCGTCGCGGGCTACAAGTTCATCCGCGAAAAAGGCCCGCGCTCCAACAACCGCAACCAGTTCATGGAGTGGACGGACACGCAGGTGAACACGGAGGGATCGAAGATGTTCGGTTGGCCCGCTGCCAAGGTGGAGACGGCGTTGAGGAACTACCAGAAGGGCAGGACCAACGCGAAGCCCATCGCGCGCTGGACTTTGACCTTGAAGGATGTCGCCCCCTGGTTCCTGAACAACGTGCTGAAGCACATGATAGGCAACCTCCACATGCATGGAATCCTCAGGTGCGGCAAGTCCAGGGTCGGCAAGAGCAACTGCCCGAAGACGCTGGCTTTCCTGCACTCCGCCTTCAACGTCCAGAGGACGGGCTCTGACGCCGAGATCGCCTTCCTGACGGTGAAGCACATGGACTTCTTCAAGGCCGAGCCGACTACCGAGGTCTTGCCTGGCATCTTCGACGACGGCCTCCTTCAGAAGGTTCCCGCGGACATCTTGAAGGCGTTCCTCAATCCGAAGGAAGAGGATGCCTTGCTGTGGGCTCGGTGGGGCGGCTGTGCCTTTGAACAGAGGTCGCCCAGGCAGGCCGTAGCCAACCCCTACGACAGGGAGGCAGAGCGGGCGGCGCTGACAGCCGCGACGCTGGGCAAGTATAGCTTGGATTACCTCAAGAAAATCATCGCGCCGTCGCTCGAGGCGGTGGACGACGAGGAGGATCTCCATGCGATCCTCGGCAGGGCGAACGTCGTTCTGGTCACTGACACGGGCGTGCATTGGCGCGTTGCTTCCGCTGATTTGCAGGTGGGCGCCGAGTACATGCAGTGGCCAGACCCCGCGTGCCCCGACCTCTTCAACGAAGACAAGCGCGACCACACGTCCCCCGCGATCCGCCCTGTGCCTGCTGATTTCGAAGAGAAGATGCAATGGTCCATCGGCTACATGCAGAACTTGGTGGACGGCCAGGACGTGCCCACGGTGGCCACGACGCGCGTTGCCTCCGTGTTCGGCGACCGCCCCGGCCGCGTGGAGTCAATGGTGGGCGGCGTCTCGGGCTACGTGCAGGACGCGGCCAGCGCGAGAGCCCCGCCCGCAGCCGCTGCGGCGTCTGGTTCCGATGGAGCAGCAAGCGGGCACATCGGGGCAGTCGATGCCGCGGGCGCGGAGAGGGGCGGGTCGGATGAGGAGGATGTCTTCGGACTCGGCGGCGACGTGGACGCAGATGAGGAGGAGGGGCCCTCGTCCCCGCGCGCCTCGCGGGCGCCATGCTCGATCGCGGCGCAGCCTCCGATCGTCGGGTGTCACGGCGAGTTGTCAGCCGAGGACCGCGCCGAACAGGTCGCGATTTTCCGCAGCCTCGCCAGGGCGCACCGCGGGGCGTTCGAGGATTTGTCGCCCCCCTCCGCCGACCAAGAAGCCGCGGCGCCTGATGATGGGTTGCGGCGGCCCGCTGTCGCCTGTCGACGCGGACGAGCAGGCGGCCATCTTCGCCCCCCTCGCCGCGTCGGCGCACGGCGAGCAGATATCCATCGACGACGACCCCGACCTCGACCTGGAGGGCGAGATCGGGCGCATGCTCGTGAGTGTGGGCGTCGTGGCGCCAGAGTCGGCGGCGGGCGGCGAGGCGTCAGGGTCGGCGGCGGGCGGCGAGGCGTCTGGGTGGGCGGCGGGCGGCCAGGCGTCGGGGTCGGCGGCGGACAACGGCCTCTTTGGGGCGGGCTTCAAGGACGTTTGTGGAGGGGCCCGACGCACGCAGCAGTCCAAATGCAACATGCACATGCGCATGAGCATAATGCACATCTACTTATACATGCGCGTACGCATACGTACACATACGGTGCATGACCACGACGGTGCTTGACCAGGGCGCGCATGTGATCGGAGGGATAAGTGCTCACAATAATGGACGTGCGCGTGCGCGCTCGCGCGTTTGCCATGCGTCTCAATAACATGTTGCGATCCCCCCCTCGCATTCCATGCCGTCGCCAGGACTGCTGCGTGATCGACGCGCTGAACGCCCTGGGCCTCAATGTACCATACCTTCGAGACGGCCCTTTCAGCATCAATGGTGCAAGGGCCATGGTTGCGAGCGACGGGCGCGCGATCTCCCCCGCATTCACCCGCGGGGCCCGCGGCGCGCCGCCTGGTCGCTACATCGCCACCTACGGCTCAGCGCCTGGAGTGGTCGGGCACGCCGTGGCGGCCCTGATCTCCCGAGAGGGATTCGTAGTATTCGACGGTGACGCCCGCGCCTGCTACGCGGGCCACGTGTCGTGGCATTGCATGCCAGGCGGCGCGCGTGCCGAGGCATGCGACTGGCGGCAGGTTCTGGGCGCCTAACTCGGCGACGCTAGCGCCGCGCGCTCGCCCTCCTCCCCCCCCTCGCGCGCAGCGGTGCGGGGAAAGGCCCTTCCGACGCTCGCCCCCCCCCCTCCCCCCCCCCCTCCCCCAAGCGAGGCGCGCGCGCGCAGGCGCCAGCGTGGGGCGCGCGCGAGCCAGAATTTGTGCACGTCGGAGAAGGGCAGCGCCCGTGAACGGGGCGGGGCGCTGCAAGAACGAGGTCCCACATGAGAAAAAGATCAGCGCTTTCTGGCCGTGATAATACTTGAGGCGTCGCGCATCTGCAGATGCCGCGCACGTGGTTGCCGCGCTGCTGCTCTGTCCGTAGCACCTTTGGCTCAATTCGGCGATCAGCTCGCGGTCCCGCTTCCGCTCTCCCGCGCGCCAGACCTGTCCATCATGCCGCATGGTGGCAAAGCTTCCAAGGCGGACAAGCACAAGCGGGCTCATCGCGTGGCAGAGGCGATTCTGAAGAAGAAGAAGCCCGCTCGTTCAACTCCCTCGTCGAAGAGACGGCCTGTCTGTGCAACTCTCCCGTCTAGGAAGCTTTCTGGCACGCGCAGGGTGTCGCTCACAGAGGGAAGTCGCATCAGCAAGAGCTTGATGATGAGGAAGGGAAAAGCGAAGCCGAATAAGGAGGCGCCTGGCCCGTCGCACACCCCTCCGATGCAAAAGCAAGCTGATCGACCTCGCGTTGCCGAGCTCAAGATTTCCCAGAGAATCGCACTGATCGACTTGGCGCGCATCCAGCCCGAGCTCCTCGCGCGCATCATGGTCGAGATCGGTGCGCTGCCAGACCTGGGAGTCGAGTGCTCGGCGTGCCAGAGCGGCGCGATGGAGTTGAAGACTCGGAGCAGCCAGACGGACAAGCATACTCAGGTGGCGGGCTTCAGCATTCCCCATATGGACTACCCTGTGTGGCGCTGTTCCAATTGGGATTGCCAGAAGCGCGAGTCCAACCTCGACCCGAAGGGCCCCTTGAAGGAGTTGTTCAACCAGGGCTCTGTGAACACCACTCGCACTCTCCTCGCCATCGCCCACGCAGCGACTCAGCACGCCTCGGGCTACGAGTCGTCGGACGAGCTGGCGGTGCAGGTGGGGATATCGAAGAACGCATCTCAGCGCATTGCCAGCGTGGTGCGGGCCATATGCGCTCGCGCAGCTCAGGCCGGGCAAGATGAGTTCAAATGGCCCCGCGGGTGCCTCGTTGAAGCCGACGAGGCGTTAATGCGTGCACGCCGCGTGCCTTGCCCGTCGGACTGCTCGGATCAGACGTGCGGTAAGCATCCTCATGGGCGGTATCGGATAGTGCATCATCGGCTTATGTGCGTGATGCCTCGGGGGCAGCGACCGTTGGCGATGATTTTCGAGCTGCCTCAGCGCTCCTGTGCTGCTGGAGGGAGCGGCGTATCGCTCAGCAGGCCCGAGTGTGACGAGATCCTCTCTTGGGTTCTCGTGCCTGGAAATTTTACATTTTTAACCGACGGAGCAGGCGCATACCAATCCGTTGCCCCGAAGAGCCGTGCTGCGTACAGCGACAAGAGTAAGGACCCTCCCCGCTTCAGCGCGGAGCGCTTCAATGCTCATTACAAGCATCTGAAACTGTCGCACGGCATAGTTTCCCACGATGCCGAGCAGTGGGCCGTCGTCGACCGCGTGCGCGTCGTGCGCCCGAACGGGCGCACCGAGACGCTCCTTTTTTTTTTTAAAGGCACGCAGTGCTGCGATGGCTTGTGGCCTGAGATGCGCAGCAGCATCCCAGACGGCGTTCATACATCCGATTGGGAGCGTTGCCGCACGTACTTGTGGGCTTGGGTGTGGCGGATGCGGCGGGCAGGCAAAGACCTGCTTCAAGAATTTGGGAAAACTGCGCGTGCTGCCAGAGACGGCCCGCCGTAAGCAATCGCATCAAGAGTGCAGCCCGCCCGCGTGCAGAGGCGCGGGCTGCGGCCGTCCGTATACAGTGTGGACGGCTTTTTTGATTGCTCGACTCAAGAGAAAACATCAAAACCGCCCAGGCCTGCATCGGGCCTGCTTCGGGAGGAGGAGGAGGAGGAGGAGGAGGAGGAGGAGGAGGAGGAGGAGGAGGAGGGTGGGTGGGTGGGGGTGGGCCGTGCGCGAGCTCCGACGGCTCGATGTTCTGGAACCCCGGGGCCCCAGGCCTCACGAGTCCCTCCCGGAGGCTGGCTCTCCGTCCTCTGCGGCCACCTCCGGACCGTGCCGGGGCCCGAGGGCGGCCCTTGAGAGGGACAGGAGGAGCAGAACAGAGTCAGCCTCCACGACTCGCTCCTCCTTTTCCTCCTCCTCCTCCTCCTCCTCCTTCTCCTCCCCCTCCTCCTCCTCTCCTCCTCCCTCCTCCTCCTCCTCCTCCTCCTACTCCTCCTCCTCCTCCTCCTCCTCCTCCTCGCGGGTCTCTGGTGGCCTGCAGGGCTTCACTCCCTCTCTCCTCGTGGGCCTCAGGGCGAGCCACTGGACCACGGTGCTCCCTGGCCAGGAGTTCCGCGGCGAGCGCAGCCGTGGCGAGGAGGAGGAGGAGGCGATCGACCCCTCGACCCCTCGGCCGTTTGCGAGCCTGGGGTCCCTCGAATCCTGGACGGCGCCCTGTGCCGCTCGGTCAGCGGCCTCAGCATGTACTCGGGGTAGGTGCGGTCGGGTCCGCTCAGGCCGTGGATCGAAACGGTGGCCGTCGCGTGGCGCTGTGGGACGACGGCAGCGTCGACCTCGCAGGGGCCAGCAGGGTGTCGGGGCCTGCCTCGTGCGTCGTCCCTCGTCCTCCTCGTCCTCGTCACCCTCCTCCCTCCTCCTTTCTCCTCCTTCCTCCTTCTCCTCATTCCTCCCTCCTCCTCTCGCTCCTCCTCCTCCCTCTTCCTCCTTTCTCTTCTTCACACTCCTGCTCCTCCTCCTCCTCCTCCTCCTCCTCCTCCTCCTCCTCCTCCCTCAACCTCCTCCCTCCCCCACTTCCCTCTCCCACCTCCCCCTTTTACTGGTGCTGTTGACAGTGGGGTTCGGTGATGAATGCTGCCGTAATCACCTCCCCCTCCTCCTCCTCCTCCCCCTCCTCCTCCATCCCCTCCTCCTCCATCTCCTCCTCCTCCTCCTCCTCCTCCTCTTCCTCCTCATCCTCCTCCTTATCCTCCTCCTCATTCTCTTCCTCCTCCTCCTCCTCCTCCTTCCCTTCTTCTCCTCTTCACAGTTAGACACTGTGAGTTATACTCTCCTCTCTCCCTTGATGTCGTGCTGGCTCAGGAAAAGCGAACTCGTATTCAAAATCTGCACACAACTGATGAGTCCGAATTGCCTTTCGATGCGTGCTCCCGTTTTGTTTTGTTCCGCCTTCGCATAATTGTGCTCTCGCTGGTGCACTCACCGTATTTCACGATTACCGGATGGCCTCGGTCCAACGAAACGACGCTGTCGCCGCAGCGGTGGCAGTGGTGGTTACATTTTCGCGTGCAGTCAGGACGTTTGCTGCCTTTCAAGTGGTGGTCTCGCTGCTGGTTTGCCGTAAGTTGTGTTCACCAAAGGACCCCCGTCCAACGGAGCGACGCTGCCGCCGCATTTCTGCATTCCGTTCGACCTCCACTGGAGCGGTGCTCTCGCCGCAGCGCTGACCGCAGCCCCGCGTCAACGAACGCTGTGTTCCTGCTGCAGCGCGTGCCTGCGCGGCGGTCTGGCGGCTACGTGGTCGCCGTCGCGCCGCCCCGTCGCCGCCTCGTCTCCGCCCGTCGTCTGGGCCTGCGCGTCAAGTCTGGCGTCTGTTTTGGACGCCCGACATGGGTACCGAAAAAATGGGTACGATGCCCAACAAGAAATGTTGTCCCAAACCAACAGCGGCCGCTGTTGGGCGGGCGACCTTCTGCCTCAAATGGACACAGGCCGAGGCGGCGCGGACAGCGAGTCCTGTTCAAAATGAAGAGGAACTGCTGTTGGGCATCGTGCCCATTCTTTCGGTACCCATTTCGGGCGTCCAGATCCGTGTGATCGCCGCCCCGTCGCCGCCGTCGCCGCCCCGTCGCAGCCCCGACGCGCAGGCCTGCGCGCCGGGCGGGCGGTCATGTGGGCGCCGTCGCCGCCCGGGTCTGCGGGCCAATCTGGCCACCGTGCGGCCGCCGGTCGCCGCCTCGTCGCCGCCCGCCGCCTCGTCGGCGCCTGTTTCGACTTGCGTTTCGCATTGGTTTGCGCTGCTTTGTGCGGTCTTCGTCACCAGATTACACAGGCAAGATTACACAACAGATGTTGCACCGCATAAAAACTGCACCACGTATACTCTCCTTCCTTAAACAGGTCTGCCAGGACATAACGACCTCCCTTTCTGTATTGTAGTTTGCATTTGGTTCTGCCTCGCCGTCCATAGTAAATATGTATTCGTACAATCGTAGGGAGGCCTGTATTGGTCCGCCCCCCTCATCCTCTGCCAAACAAATATGCGCGCGCACTCGTTCATCCCAAATTATGGGTTTTCAAGGAGTCCCTTGCAACAGACCGTGACGAAGTGCGCTCGTCGTCGCGCGCGCATGCCAGAATCCTTCGACCACCTTTGGTTTCGTTTTGATCAAAAATTCGAGTTCCCCGAAAACACGCAAACCACATAGTTTCGCAATGCGAATTTTGAATCAACCTTGCGCTCGGGCTCGTGCGAATTCTTATAACAAAGCCATCGGATTTAGAACATGTTCATAACTTGCTACCAAATGGGCCTCTCGCGCGCGCGTGTCGGAATCGCTCGAACGCCCTTGCACGCGTGCTGTCACAAGAACCCCTTGCCAACAAGAAAACGAAGTCGCGCGCGAATGCGGAAATCCTCAAACAACCTCAAGCTTCGTAAGGAATTCAAGATCGAGTGTCCCAAGCACATTTCAAAACACATGGTTGGGCAACAACAGTTTTGAAAACTCCCTGCGCTCGCGCTCCTGCGAGTTCTTGAGGCAGCCGTGGTGTTTTATATGTTACAGGAATAGGTTCTGCCACATTGTTTCTGCACTGCGTGTAGACACAACAGATACACCGACCCTGGCCAGGCCCTTCCTGGGCCCAGGACAGGGTACATATGCCCTCCTGGGCACACACGCCAATCTTGGGCCAATGCGGGGCCCGGAAAAGAGTCGGTGTGTATGTGCAGCTCGCGTGGCTTGACGAACGTCCTCCTGCTCATCCTCACCTGCGAGGCTGGGATCTGAGCGTATCCACCCCGCGGAACCGCTCACCCAGGACCCTGGAGGCACGGTGAATGGACATGCTCGGGTCCCCAGGGGGGCCCGACCATTCCCAGACATCCGACGTCGTGGCTTTTCAAAAACGTGGCCCCCAAAATGTCAAGACCTTCTCCCGCGGACTGGTCTTCCACCCCGCGTCATTTTCTGACGGTCCCGGGACCAAGTGGGGCCCCCCGAACCCAGAACATCGGCAAACGCCGTCCGCCGTGGCTATTCTTGTCGCAGCGAGACGCCTTTGGCCCACGAAGATCGCTTCCCTTGGCGGTGGCGTGTACGGCGTGCAGAATGGCCCAGTCTCGGAGCTCTGCCCCCCCCTTTCAGGGGAACGAGAGAGGGGGAAGGCACCCCGAGGCTCGAAGACCGAACGAGAACCTGCGACGACGTCCGAGAGCCTCGAACCTCGACCCCCCCTCCTGGGATGTTGGCCTGCGGCCCGGGACTGTCAGAGAACAGATGGCACGTCTGGCTCGTTTCAATGCGGGGTGCCAGGAAAGACCGACCCCGTCGTCATGGCCGGCTTTTTCACCGTGACTCGCTCTCTTGGAGCTTCGGGGCCCGGCAAGGGCCCCCAGAGGCCGCGAACCAGGAAAAGCCCCCGCCCTGATCTTTTCATGCCGTTGGATGTCCGAGGAGGAGGAGGAGGAGGAGGAGGAAGAGGAGGAGGAAGAGGAGGAGGAGGAGGAGGAGGAGGAGGAGGAGGATGGGCCCCCTGGTCGGCCTGCTCCTGATCCTCCTGCACCCACGCCGCGCACCGGGCCACCGGTGCGCGAGGCCGCCCGCGCGCCCCTCCCCCGCCGACTCTCTCGGCGGACGGGCCTCCTTCCTCCCGCCTCCTCCGTGGCCGCCTCCTTCTTTTGAACAGGGACCGACCGTCCCGGCATTCCTATAGTCCTACCACGAAATGCTCGTGGAACCCAAGAATGTTCCAAGAACAAAAACAGTGTTCGTAGAACATAAACCCGATGCGTTAAAACAAGACAGTCCCAGCCAGAAATGTTCTAAGAACATTTCGTGGGAACCACAAAAGGCTCTTCGAACATTGCTTGGTAGGGCCATAGGCGAGCCAGAACGCTTCGCCACTGCTTGACTCTTGTCCGCGTTCGTCGTCGCGCCCCGCGCCTGGCGCGCCCCGCTGGTACCGACCGCCGCGCCTGCGATCGCCCGCGCTGCCGAGTGAACAAAGATGTCCAGGTCCCCCCCCACCCCCCCCTCCGACGCAGAGGCCTCCCAGGTGGACTCGGAGCAGAGGGGGACGGAAGACCTCGCCGCATCGGCGATGCAGCGGCGACGTCCGTGTGGAGAAGATCGGGCTCCACATCGACCCGCATCGCCGATGCATCAGCGATGCGGCGCGATCCTCCGATCCCATCTTCTCCGACCCCATCTGGGAGGCCTCGACAAACGTTGCCCTTGAGACTCTGCCCCCCCCCCTGGAGGCCGCGGCGGACCTCGGCGGTGCGGACGTCGACTCCGTCCGGGTCGTCGTCGTCGTCGCTGGAACGCAAGGGTGACATCGAGGGGGCGTCCTCTGGGGACCTGGCGAGGGGCGGCTGGGGACGTGAATCGCAGAGGAGGCTAAAAGAGGAGGGGAGGAGGCGGAGGAGGAGAAGGATTCAAGCTGGGATTCAATCGGGGCAACAGTGTTGCAGGCCAGCAGGCCCCATACTCACAGGGAGAATATTGGGGCTTCGGCGTGATAAGGAGGACCGCGCCTTCGGGGATTAGGAGTTAGATCCCGCAGGCGCATCCCGAAGATCAGCCGCGGCAGGGCCAGGCTCGCTTGACGAACCAGCTCCGCTCACACGCTCTGCTGCCTCCCTCTGGCAGCAAAATCGTCACGGGCCTGCATCGCCATCTGAACTGCTTTGGGGGCCCCTCACGGCGAGGGTGGAGGCCCTTGCCCAAACGGGCGAGATTTTCCACGCCTTTCTGGCTCGGACGACACTCAGCAATAAGATGGCGGGAATCAGACGCAGCATACGCCCCGCAAGTGTGACAAAAGGTCAGGGAGAATTTGTCCGACTGACCGACCGAATGAGACGGGTGGACCTCGACTACCTGTACATTGAAACCAATACAGGTCCTGGAAGGAGCGGGGGCCTCGGGAGCAGGAGGAGGGGGAAGGTTACAGGGGCTCGTACTCAGCTCCAGGAGCCTGGAGTTGGACGGTCAGGAGGCAGGCCTCACGAGCCCACGCCGAGCCCCTCAAGTGGAGGCCGTGGGCGGACGCTGCGACAGCACGAGCAACGCGAGACTTCGGGACCGCTTTGATGGCACCGCATCTCTGTCGGCCTTCGAGGATTTCTCGACGGCCGCCGAATCCTGCAGGGCGCGAGGGGCGCGCTCCCTGATCACTGCATCAGCAGAGTCGACCGCATCGGTCCGAGGAAGGCCCCCCACCACCCCCTTCTCCAAACGCCAACTCCGCCGCCCTCCCCGCCCATAAATCCGCAGCCATGTTACCCATGGCCGTGAGCATTTCTTGTTCGCTGTTGAAACTCGCTCTCCCATCCGTGTGCGAGGGGGCCCATCGCACCGCGATCTGACCAGGCACAGCTCTCCAATACTTCCGAGCACGTCCCCACAGGTCCTACTTGAGACGAGAGGCCCTGGGATTCTCCAAGGTAGCCCTCCAAGACCTGGCAATATTATGATCTGTGACGAATTCGGCATTACCTGCAACATTCCCAAGCATGAGGCAAACAGCGAAGAGCTACGACCTTGGGACTGACTGCTTGGGTCCAAGGAAGGGAACCGCGACGCCAGCATGCTCCTGATACTCGCCCTCGCCATTCAGAGCAAGGGCTATGGTGGCAGCGCCGCAGCGGCGCCAACGGGGGTCGTCCGAACGTTTCCCTCCCGACCCGTCCCCGTGCACCACGCCCCCCCCCCCCCCCCCCCCCCCCTCCCTGCAGTCCGCAAAGGCGCCGAGCAGCTCGAGCTCAAGCTCGGCTAACAGCGCCCCGTCTAGCCGAGGCGTAGTCATGCAGACTTTGGGCGCACCGCGGAGCCAGAAGGATGGCTGGCTCTCATATTGTGCCAGCGCCGCCGCGAACAGCGAGGAGGTCTCATCGTGGCCGTCGTGATCGCGGCTGCACTCGCAAGACCATATCCTGTGGAACAGCGTCTCAGGATGCTTCTTGCAGCGCGGGTAGATCGTCGACTCGATCATGTAGCGAGTCCATTGCCCGCCTGCAACCACCGTGAGCGCCAAGCCGTGCTCGTCGCGCTGGCTGCGGGACTGACGACGCTTGAGCTCCCTCATGATGTGGGAGAAGTCGCCGCCACCCTCGGGGTCCTCGCCAGCGCCGTGCTTGCTAGCCTCTGCCCGCGAGGCCGCGCGGATGTCGCGCGACAAGTCATCCAAGAGCTCCGTGGTGGAGCCAAAATGCTCGAACGCATCCTCGTCATTCGAAGGCATGTGCCACTCGTCAATTCCAGTAGCCGCGGGGCGGATCCAAATGCCAGCAGCCTTAGGATACCGCCCCGCGTCCATAGTGTCGAGATAATCGTTGAAATAGAGCCTCGGACAACGTTCCAGCGCCGGTTCTCAGCCTTCAGGGCCCGAGATCGGATCGAAGGCCACGCCAACTACATGCGTCGGTGCAAATCGGGCTGGGCTCGCCAAGAGCTGAGCCACTCCAGAACCTACTGCCGACGGATCTTCACCGCAGGGTCCTTCGTGCCGAAGGAGACCGCAAGGGCGCCGGTCAGGCGGCGCCCTCCTTGGCCGCCCGTCGCGGCACCAGCAGCCTGGCGGCGAAGCGCCCGCAAGGTCGACGGCGGCGCGCCGTGGGCCCGGCGGCCGTAGGTGGCCTGCGGGCGCGCGCCAGTGGCCCGGAGGCAGCGGGCCTCGCGGCCCAGGGCAGCCGTGCGCCTGAGACGCTTGACGCGCCCCGCACGTCGCTGCGCCGTGACGCGCCGCGAGACAGACTTGGCGCAAACCCTGCGCCTGCCAGCTGCCGCATCGATGCCGAGGTCGACGCCATGGAAGGCTGGCTTGACTGGCGCGCCTCGCGCACGCAATCGCTTCGCCAACCTCTTCGCCAGCTTGGCCGACGAGCCGGGGGGCATCGACTTGGAGGACACCGCCGGCCGCTGCTGCTGCTACCTCGAGCCAGGGCAATGCCGACCTTGTCAATTGCAGGTGGCACAGACTGAGCCGTCCCTCGCATCGGCCGACAGTGTCGTCAACGAACGCAGTCGGGAACTCCTGGTGGACCCTCTCCAGGATGGGGTATAGCGCCAGCTTGGAACAAGGGGCCCCGCGCGAAGAGCCCGCTACAATACTGCGAGCAAGGGAAATCGCCTGTTGAGCCAGCCACGCCCCCGCAAGTAGCGGGGGCGCAGGTGCACCTGAACTTCCGGGCCCATGGCGGTCGGGCTGCAGCCCGGGTCGAGGCCGATCTGGAGCAAGCCGATCCGCGAGACACCGTCGTATAACTTCTCAATGTCCAGGAGCAGCGCCAGAAAGGTCAAGCGCTGCCCCTGCGTCGCCGCATCGAGGGTCGCCCTGGGCAAGGCCGCTCGGAGGGCGGGCGAGCCTCAGATGGCCGCGCCCAAGAAGGCCGCGCGCCTCGGGCACCATTGCGACGCGAACGCCTGGCGCGCACGCGACCGCAGCTTGACGGGGAACGGAGCGATGCCGAGGGCGCGGTCGCCCTCGCCCGACGGCTTCGGGGCAAGGGCAGAGAGCGTGGCCGTCAGCTGAAGCGGCCACGCCCGGGCAACCTCGCAGCGCCGCAAGATGCCAGCCAGCGCCTCGAGGCCGCGTCCAGGCAGCCGGGCAAGACCACCCGCTCCCAGACCGTCGACTCCACGCGCCTTCTCGTTGCCCGTGACGCGGGTGCCAGACTGAAGCTGTTCAATCTGCAACGGGGGGATATCCTCCGCTGCTGCCTTCTGACGAATGCACCCGTGGGCCTGTGCGGCACCCTGGGGGTCATTAACTGCATCCGCCCAAATATTGCCCCACCTCGCAAATTTACGTCCATGCTGGCATCGGGGTAGGCGACCGTATTGGCCGCAAGGGAGGAGGAGCCAGTGACCCCCGCGCTGGCATCTTCAGGCCGAGGTGCAACAGGATCACGAACATGGCGGTGAAGCGCCCCAGGTGACGCGCGCCGCATGCGGCGCACCCAGTCGGCGTAGGCCTCGCGGGCCTTGCCGATGCCACGGCCGAACTCGCACGCTGCAACCGCCTCCGCGCCGGTCGCGACCTGCGCGAGGCCCTGGACGAGCTGGTCGCTGGCGAGGCGGTCGACCCCCTCTAAGAAGACGGCCATGGTGTCGAGGGCCACCCTGGCCCGCTCCTGGAGGCCAGGGCGCTGGTCGAGGTGGCGCTGTCGAAGGCGCTGGACGCGACGCGCGGCTTCGCGCTGCGCGATCCGCAGAGGGTGTCCATGACAGACCAATGCTCCGCGCCATCAGATTCCCAATGAAGAGGAAGCCGACTTCGTCCAGATGACTGCAAAGCCGCGCGCCCGGTCCGCAAAGGGCGCTCTCTCCTGGTCCGTCAGCTTGGAGTCGAGGAGCGCCTGCTCGACCTGGTCAACCCACTTGCCGTGGGCCTGGGAGAGGTCACCATTCCCTCAAGGGCCTAGCCAACAAGACGGGGTCGGCAGCTCTGGGGCGAGGGGCGAAGGCGCCATCGAGGAAGAGGCCGTTGCGGTCCTGGCGGTGGGCGGCTGGGAACGTGAGAGAGAAAAGGATGATAAGGAAGAAGAGGAGGATGAGGAGACGGAAGAAGACCCCGAGATACGAGCGTCGCTTTTTGTTACAACAAGCACTTTCGTCCAATGTCAGTCCCGTGGACAATTGCATATAGATCCGAAATGAGAAATGCCGCTGGAAGATCGGGTCTGGGTCACTGGTCGTGATTGTTCCGCGATGTTGCATTTTTCCGCGACACCGGATCTCGGTGGACCCATGCGATTGCGCAGAAAACTTGCATGCTGACGACGGCGCGCTGGAGCTTATCCGCCGACCCCTTGGGGTTCCATCGGCGCGTGAGATGCTTCAGTTTGAAAAGGACTGGCAGGCCCAGCCAGATGCTTCGCCTAAGGCCAAGCCTATATCCAACTCTGTTACACAGTAGTAACGATATTCCCAAGAGCAGAAGTGAGTCGCGGGAGCGACGAGCCATGTCAAGCGAATCTGTCTTCGGTCTCGATGGCGAATAGCGCGCCTAGCGATGAAGCGCAAGCATATCTTGGCGGCCGGCCGCTTGAAAACAAACCGCGGGCAACCTCTCGCTACCTCTCGCCTGTGCCCAGCCTCCTCTAGAGTCGGGGGGGGGGGGGGGGGGCGAAGCGCGAGTCCGCCGCCGGCTATACAGCATAACGCTATAATACACAAGGCAGGCAGCAGCAGGCGGGTTCAACGAGGCAGGTTGACCCGCGTGCAATTTACCTTGCGCGCAAGTTACCTCGCATGCAAGTTGCCCTGCGGATGGCCACTCCTCAGGCGGCTCAGACGATCCTGTCTGGCCAGCCCTGTATGGAGTGTGTCGTTTTAGGTCATGCTTGAAGGATTGC